ACCGGTCTCAGTTGGCCGGTCCGTCTGTTGCCCCGGTCTCTGACCGGTTTCAACTCTACTGACCCGGCCGACTGCTGACTGGACGGTTTTCGCCAACGGATAAAAAAGGAGGGTTGTCCGAGTGCGCTTTCGTGTACACTAAGCCCCGTCCCCTCCGTCTCAAGCCGGTAGGAAACGGAAGCCGTAACTGAACACCAGTACAGGTGGACTGGACGAATGACGGCTACTGAGCCCTCGGGCCCTGAAGGGGCTGTCTAAGCAGAGCCTTCGTCCCTGCCTTCTCTGTAGAAGTTCCCACAAGCCGTCGCAGTGTGAGTATTGCCTGCCAAGTATTTTCCGATGGCAGCGGAAGATGCCCCAGGTTTCTGAATTCTGGACTCACAGATGTCGCTCGACCCCAGTCTATCTTCAAGGAGGATAAGGTAGTGAATCCACACACAGGGTCCACATGTTATTCACTGCAAGGCTCTTCAACAAGGAGTTGTAGGTCGACCTGTAGACTCTACTCCCCCGTGAAACCCTACTTAGAGGTTCATGGGTAGTTATAAGTGAGACAAGTGGGGTTACAACTGGTAACTCTAAGTATATTCATATGCGCTATTAGGGGACTTATCGCCCTGTAAACCAACCCTAAACAATGAAATTGACAAGGCAATATAAGGTGACTGGTACCCCCACTTATAACCAGCCATGAACCTCCAAGTAAGCCCCCAAAGCCAGAACCCCAAACCCTAAAACCTTAAACCCCGAAATCCCTAAAACCCTAAAGCCCTAAACCCTGGACCCTAATAAACCCTGGACCCTAAAACTCAGGACTTGGTCACGGGCTTCGCGGAAAAGCGTGAGACAGAAGTGCGTATACATGCTGGTCAGCTTTCTGCGGGCGTTTGCTGTTTGGGCCTCTGGTGCCTCCGACACGGACTGCGACGTTTGCTGACTCCGCCTGCGCTGCTGGTGACTTCCGCCTGTCCTGTTTGCCGACTCTGCCCCCCATGTTTTTGACTTTGTCTGCTGACACCGGCCCTGCCCCGCGTTGACCGTTGTCCTGTCATGTGGAGATCTCTCGACCCTCTCATGTGCTCGTCGGTCCTATGGGATACGCGGCAGCCGCAGCAGGTAACCCTGCTCGGTGGAGATGGGAAGAGAGTCCAAAGCGATACGGGGCAGCACGGCGTGGATCGGTCGCACAGTCATGCTGAGTGAGCCAGGGCTTTAAATTGTTTGCTTCGCAGCTTAGTTTCTGACTATGAAACTATGCTAGATCAACTCAAGGCCAGTTTCACACTCTTTTGTGAGTGCTAGTTCGGTTACATGCCCGCTAAGCGTGGAGTCCGCTCGCGCAGCGTGCAATTGAAGTTGTTGTTGTTGTTGTTGTTGTTGTTGTTGTTGTTGTTGTTGTTGTTGGTGTTGGTGTTGGTGTTGGTGTTGGTGTTGGTGTTGGTGTTGGTTGTTGTTGTTGGTGGTTGGTTGTGGTTGTTGTTGTGGTTGTTGTTGTTGTTGTTGTTGTTGTTGGTTGTTGTTGTTGGTTGTTGTTGTTGGTTGTTGTTGCTGTTGCTGCTGCTGCTGCTGCTGCTGCTGTTGTGGTCGTTGCTGGCGCTGGTGCTGCTGCTGTGCTGCTGCTGTGCTGCTGCTGGTTGTTTTTGTTGTGTTGGTGGTGGTGGTGCGGACAATGACGATCGTGTTGATGATTCTACCGGGGTTGGAGTGGCAGGCAGTTTGAGCGTAAGTCCATGGCACCCTGTTCAGTCATTCCCTTTGCTGCCATCGCAGGGGTTGGCCTATTGGAGACCAAGCTTGTCATCGATCGTTTCGCACAGCACCGTGCAGGTCCTCACGATTTCAAGGACACGGGTTGGCAAACAAAATGAGTCTTGATTCGCCGCTCGATCGTGAAGCATTCGTTGGGTGTACATGTACGGTGACGGGGCAGTCGATCAGTTGCAGGCTGCGGCGCATCGTGTTACCACAACCTTGATTTCAAGCATAGCAGCTAGCCATTTCTGTCAAGCTGCCATGTCGCCCGACTGGCTGCGAGGACGTGATTCATGTGTGGCGACAGAAAGGGTCGGCAACCCGATTCCTTTTTCCGTCTCTGCACTCTCGCAGAAACTGCTCGCACCTTTCAAGCCCCACTGATCCACCATCGAACGCGTTCGAAGTGGTCTTTGCGTTGTTGCAGTGTGCAGCCCACAACGCAGTTCAGTGCATGTGGTCGATGCCCCTCGACATGTCTGAGGGCCAAGAAAGGTCGCAAGAAGAAGCTCGGGCCTCGGGTATTGTTATGCCATGCTCCAACACCAAGGAAGCAGTGAGTTCTGTTCTGTTGACATGAGGAAGGGAGCGAAGAAAGGGAAGAAGTAGTTGACCTTCGATGGTGTACAGGACAGGCCGAGGCCCGAAGGACATCCTCGTCGCGCACTCGCGTGCGGATGCAAGCATCAGCATTTGGAAACTCACGAAACTCCTTCACATGATTTCTGCTAAGGTTGCTAAAGGTTTGTTCAAGCTCATATTACATACTACATCCAAAGCTTCGTTTTCTTCCGCTAAGTGGAAGAACATCTCGAAGTCTTTGGACATGTTCGGGTGTTCAAAGCAACATGCATTGAATGCCAGAGAGCTCGAGTGGAAACCGCGTTGCAGGGCAGGGCAGCCATGCCATGAGAGAACCCTATGTGCTCAGCTCAGTGGCTGGTCGCAGTGTGCTCTTTGCTCAAGGCTTCGGCAAACTCTATCGCTGTGGCATGCGCTTTCTCTTCAACACAAATTTAGTGCGTTCTGCATGTATGGTCAGCGCACTCGAAGCTGGGAAAGAAGACCGAATACGTTACTTCAAGCCCGTGGAAGCCAATGTCGCATCCGCCGCGGGACTACTACAAGGCTGTGGAAATGAACTCATCAGTTTGACAAAGCTGCCGGCCGCTGCACAGGACATTTCTTAAGGCTTGCGAAGTTTGGTGTTGAATATGAATACCAGTCTTTTCTCTTCTGGATCTTGTTGTGCTGGGGTGGAGGGCGTGCAAACGGCCACCAAGCCCGTTTGCACAACCTGTTGTAGCTTTGATCAAGTTCGGTCAGGCTATCGTCAGATCTTTCGATCCCTAGTTTTGCGTGCAGCACGCAACCGACGCAACCAGGAACCCCAAGGTGGCCACAGCTGCGGAAGCTTTCGTGCTTCAGCACTGAAGTCACTAGAACAAGAATGGAGGAACGGGCGCTGAGAAACAACGCCACAGCCAGAGCACCGCCTGGCTTGCATGTCTTCCAGGGTTTCGGTGGAGATATGGCAATACGGTGGTACGCTTCGTCGGTTCGATCCCTCTGCAGTTTGTGTCACTTGGTGTATCTTGCCCTCATCATCATCACCTTTAGTTGTCCGTGACCCCAAGCTCAAAGCCCAAGCTGGGCATTGCCACATTCAGGCCCTGTTCTGGCACAACGCCCTCTCGCTTGCCTAGCTTGACCTGCATCTTGTGCTGGCATCCGCGGTTTGAAGGTGCTTGGTGTCGAGAAGACTGCTTCCGATGCGGACATCAAGAAGGCTTCTGGCATGTACATGAACGAGACTCGTTTATGGGGCTCAGAGCTTAACGCAGCTTGAGCCGAGAGACGATCGCCATGAGGCCTATCGCAAGCTGGCACTCCAATGCCATCCAGACAAGAATGCTGGCGACAAGCAGGCCCATTGCAGTGATCAGACTTCTCATCGGCAGAATGGGCCCGATGTGAGGCCGAGGAGAAGTTCAAGGAGCTGGCAGAGGCATATGCCACGCTGAGCAACGCCGAGAAGCGCCGCCGCTACGATTGCGAGGCAGAGATTCGGAGCCGGGATGACTGGACAATGCATCGGTGGAATCCTGCTAGCATGGGTGGCGGTTTCGGCTCACATACAAGTCCCAGCTTCAGGCGGCGAGGCATTGTGGCACGAAGAGCGGCGACTCTGCCTTTCAATGGTGCCTCCCGGCCCTCTTTTTCAATTGTCCTGTTTTTCACAGCTCTGGACAGGTGGGGCAAGAAGCCCGGCGAGGGCCCAGGAAATCCTTTCGCCAAGCCGAGCTGGGGTGCTGCCCAGGCCCAGGTCGCCCCTCCAAAAGGGGGTCCTCCCAGGGCTCCGCGTGCGCTCCGCATGGCAGGAGAGAGAGACGGTCCACGGCGGCTACAGTCATGGCCCAGGCGGGGTCTTCCGGAGGGAGCGGCATTCACGCCTGTTGCTGCTTTTGCCAGATATCGGCCCTTTTCTTCGGAGGGGCTTCACGTTGCAAGAGGCACCGCCTTCACGTTGATTGCTTGGCTGGCTGCAGCATCCCCGCTGAGCCCAGGCCACGGGTCTTTTTCAGAGCCTCTTCGGTGGCGACCCTTTCGATGACTTCATTGATGCGAAAGCTCAACAGCCATTCGAATGGAGAGGCAAAGCTCGCTAGGTCTAGGTGATGCAGCGCAGATAGCCTGGGGCCCTCGGGCCTTAGGGCCCAGTCGGCCAAGTCTGTCTCGAAGAGCAGGACTGGGACAGCGCGCGTCCATATCCAGTGACAAGAAGTGCACCTTGATCTCGAGCTCATAAAAGGCCGGATGTTGCAAAACACGCACACCAGGTCATGGGATGTCAAGATCACGCGTATCAAGCGGCCAGATGGCACAGTGGCTGCCCGATGAGAGGATGCGAGATGGGAGTGTTTCTGGAGCGCTGTCAGACATTCAGGTCCTCATTGAGCGCACAGACTCTTCGGGCACTACCCAGACGGTAGAAGCAGGACTGGCCTGGGACGCAGTAGGCTGAAGCGATCAGCTGGTGTCAGTCGCCTTGAGGACACACTGGTCCACACAGTGGTCCACACGGTGCCAATGCAGCCGCTGCAACGCCTCCTCGTGATGCAGGGCCGTGTTTCAGGTGCGTGATTGCACGATGCGAGCAGAAGGGAAGCCAGTGAGCCAGGAGATCCGGCTCTGGTCGTACCGGCCAGGCACAGCGAGAGCTGAGACTGCCGAGAGCTGCATACATGCACTGCGGTTTCTCATGCACGAAGGAGAAGGAGATGCTGAGACTCTCGCCTGCCGGTGCGGCTAGCCACGTGGTTCCATTACTGTAGGAAGGGATGGGAAACCTCGCGCTTCATGGCTCGTTGCTTTTTGAGCAAGGCGTCGGTGGGAGCATGCAAAGAGGCAGAAGACAGACCCAGAGAGCCAAAGTTATGGGACGAGTCGATGTCAAGTGCTGCAAACCCCGGAAGGAAGCTGGGCTGGAGCTGGAGTTTCCAAGGTAGCCGGGGGCCGCCTCCGACTCGGACTGCCAAACAAGTGCCTTTTAATTGTGTAGCTTCAAACAAGCAGGCGGTGCTTTCGTGAACTGGAACTCGAACTGAAGCGTCCCAGCCGCCCCTGCCGCCTGATATGTACAGAACCTCGTTAGCTGAGTTTGTTTCATTTGCGCTGTACAGACTCCAATCAGAAGCCTCCATTGAGCTGACTACACAAACCAACATGTGGAAGTGTCGAACATCAAAAGCAGAGAAGGTTGCGTTTGATTGATGCGCTTCCTGAAGCACGTGCCAGGTGGTTTGGGCCTGTCTCGTACATGTACGAACGGTGTCTTATCAGCGGCAAAGTTCGACATGCGAAGGCCCTTCTGAGACAGCCTCCAGGCATCAGGCCAGCAGTTCTCAACTATCCCCCAGCAGGGCACAAAAGCAACATTCGACAGCAGAAGCAGACATCCAAGCTTTGATCAAGCACGCATCCAAGTGCGGTGCTGCGCAAGATTATTGAGGTTGTAGTCTGTTTCGCCAGAACATCGCATTGAAACTTCTTGCCGGGCGTCGCTTGCCAACACCATCCTTGACGAGCCTTCAATGACAGACCTGTATTTTCCTTTCCCGGTATACTCATGCTGAAATGCATCTTCCCCTCATTCCTCGCTTCATTTGTTTCATTCATGTGGTCATAGACTCTTTTCGCAAAGAGCTGATCTCGCTGTGAATTGTAAATGACCGCCTTTGACCATGGTCTGTGACACCTACCTTCATCCACCATACCCGAAGTCTAGGATGTGTGTGTTGGGTGACCCCATCAGGTGTCCCCGAAACCGTAAACCCTGAACTCTGAAATCAGAAGCACCTGTTTCCGCCTGAGACTTGTGCAGCCTAATTTTTCAGGACCTAATCGTCCTTAAATCGGGGGCAAAGATGGACAGTCTCCTTCCTCCGCTCCCGTCCCATCGCCTCCCCTCCTCGCTACGACTTCTGTACTTCCGATCTTCTAACTTGACCTCGCGCTCTAGGACTGCTGGGTTGTATATCATCCTTCCATCTTCCGACTCGGTGCCCCTCGCCGCAGCCTTTTGCCGTGAGACGGGGCGGTGAGCCCTTGTAGAAGAGATGTTCTGGCGAAGTCCCCAAGGCCCGGGGCAGGACTGTGCCTCGTCTCTCCACACTCCTCACATGCCAGTACGGGGCTTCTTTGACAACCAGTTCTCCCGTCCTGGACCTTTGCGAACACTGCGGAAGCAGCAAGGACGCTGAGTGGCACCATCGGACATCCTTGATTGACATTGTCCATGTAGCTCCTTGCTTCGCGCAGGGATTGCATGGGTTTGCGCTGTCTTCTCCCTGCCGACCTTCCTGGTCTTGGTCGGGAACCATCCAGATGTTCAGGAGCCGTGGTCAAGGGGGTGCTTGGTATGGAGCATGCTACTGCAGAGCAGGAGTGGTTCATTCGGTCGCGTGCTCGTGTGCAGTCCTTTTGCTGTCTGGCACTTATCTGAGTTGCTGAGGCACTACAGGCCCATAGAGTATCCTCCGCAGCCGAAGACTCAGTGGTGCTGCATGGTAGGCGCACAGTGTGCCGGACAGAGCTTTGTAAACTGAGCTGTTGGACCGACGAGGTCAGATCCGTCCATCATCTACGACATCTATCATGGGAGGTGTGTCAGTGCCAAGGGTTGCCTAAGAGAATCAGAATGATGCACAGCACAGGTCATGCAACTGTCGCCTGCGCATGTGGCATTTATGTTTCCGTCTGTTGCTTCCTCGCGCCGGTTTCGAGGACACCCCGGAAATCTGCATGATTGCAGCACGGGAGCCAGCATCGAAGCTTGTACATACATTCAACCCACGTAGCGATCTGCTGCTTAAATGCGCCGACCCAAAACCTGGACTTGACGCCAGTGTTCCCGTTCGTAGATTGTGAACACGCAGCTACAGTTGCCCTGACGAGCAGCTGCAGTTGCACCGCCTGTCTGCTATTTGCAGATGTCGGCTCCAGTGTCCGCATGTGCCAAAGCAGCACTTGTGCTTCAGGGATCAGGACAGCTAGAGTTGCCGTTCATCTGCCCGTGGCACGACACCCGGCACTCGACTAGTGGTTACGCCTGTTCCATTCTTATGATCCCGGCTGCGATCAGCCCTGAGGCTGCTTGCATGTCGGCTTGGGGACAACTACTGCAAGCAACAGCAACTTGACGGCAGAGCTTGTTCAATTTATTGTCTTGGTTTGCTCTGTATCTGCAGACATCTGAGGTCATAAATTGAGCACGGGATGGCGTCAAGTATCAAGACTTCTGCGCCTTGCACTTGCAGAAATGTCTGTCTGTGCTTGCTGCTCACAATGATCACATAGCATCGCTTCACAGAGCAACCGTATCGTTTTGGAGCCTCCTTTGTGCCGAGCGCCCCTCGCGGAGAAAAAGCAAAGCTTCGAGTGTGTACCGGTCACATGCAAGCCCTGTACCGCCATGCCTCTGCAAATATGACCGTTGAAGCTTCCAGACCTTGTGTTGGATGCACGGAGCCCCCAGATGTGTTTTTGTTTTGATTTCTTTGCTTGTGACCGAAAGGCCCCCCCCCCCCCCCCCCGCGTGCCGCACGCGCCCACACCACGAACATCTAGGAAACAAAAGCTGCAGCTCGCGATGCGTTTGCATCGCAGCGGCGCCTGGGACATTGGAGGTGACGAACACTTGTAAAGTTAAAGTTGGGGCCAAGCGCTGCCAAACGCACAGGGAGGTGCGGGCATGTGGGTCACCAAGGCCCAACCAGTCCTGGCTGCCACAGATGGCAGCAAGTGAATTCCCCAACGGCATCCAAGAATATCCTTGCACGTCCAGGCCGGTCCCATGTTTGAAAGCACCCGTGTTGAACGGGCATGTGCAGCCTCCAAAGAGTGTGCGCAAGGGTCCAGAACCTGTTGCCCAGATTCGCAAATTTGCACAGCCATGCTGAAAAGATCGAAGACTGAACTTGAAGTATTTGTGCTGTTGACAGATGCCTGCGTGCCGCTCCCATGAGTCGAGAGAGATTCTCTCCTAGTCGGAGCATGTTTCCACGAGTTCTTCTCAGGTGCTCGGGCCAGACAGATTCCGAAACAGACAGGCGCCTGCACGTGACACCAGCAGACGCGGCATGTTGCAGTCAACAGGCGCCGTCTGGCGTAGGCGATGTGTGCGACTCTCAGAGCCTCAGAGCATTTCAGAGCTTTCGGCGCCTGCGGCCCTGTGTTCTGCAGGACTGTGGTAGCACATTCAAGGCGGCGTGAGGGAACACCGAGCACAGGCTCTCGTGACGCCCTTACATCGGGATTGCTTTCTGAGCCTTGTTAGCCTTCTTGCAACTGTCGCTCCAACAGTATCTTGATGATGCCGAGGCGATTGCAGTGCAGCCGGTGCAGCTCCTCTCAAGAAAGCCAAGGCGCAGAAAAAGCTCCGCAGGTCTGGCACAGACGAGACGCATCGCACGTATTCATTATTTGGCGAACGCTAGAGTTGCCACATGGCATTCGAAGGTCAGGGCATCACCGTGCCGTCACTTTCAGTTGCAATGAAATCCGTGGTCATGACCTGCACCCCGGGTTTGGGATTCGAAAGACCAGGCAAAATTAGTCGCCTTGCTAATTGTGGTACTGATCTGGGGATTGCAGTCTTTTTGCCAAGCCGACGTATCCGGCGGATTTCTGAAGCTCATTGCGTTCCAGACAGGGCACGCAGATGAGGCTCTGGTTTGACTTCAATAGAGGCAGGGGCAAGCGAGGCAACGCAAGAAGAACCTCCTATGGTCGACATGTACTGCGGAGATAAGTCAGGAGATGAAAGAGAAGCAATCGTGAGCACGGACTATCCAAGCATGTGGCAGGGGCTAGCTTTAAGCTGGAGCTTTCGTGGATCCATAGTTCTTAAGAGACCGTACATAGACAACACACTGCCAATGAAATCCAGCTATTCCAGCTGCAGCTCCCAAGACCATTCTTAGGTCCTTTTACTTTCGCATTCCGAAATCACTCGCCAGACAGCTGCGGACTCTGTTTTGGCAGGGGCATCTGAGGCCAGGATGGAATTCAAGACTGGCTGTGGCGTCGGTTCTGCTAACCCGTGTGGGAAGGAAGCAGCACTCCGGCGAAATTGCCTGGTTGATTGGATGGAGATGTCAGTGCCCGGCATAGCGACAAGACTCACAGTCCTCGGACCATACGTTTTTGGAGTTGGAAAACTGGCAATGTGCTGCAGGTACACGTCGCACCTGGCCAGCGACAATCGCGCCAAAGAGCAGTTCCACAGGGCTTGCAGGAGCAGTACACCTCCATCGTAATCATCTCAGACGTTGGCACGCGATTGACGTGTGAATTGACCGTTGTGAAAGCGAGGACTGAGTGAAGAGCTGTTGCTCCAAGCAGCCCAGCCAAGGTGAGGCACTACTTGACTGACGTGGCTCTGAACCAAGGCACACAATTCCAGAAACTCAACGTAGCACAAGGAGTTCCAAGCTTCGTATATAAGCAGGCACGAAGAAGCGAAGCCACTTTCAGGCATCAGCTCACCGGTCTTTGGTAGACTGTACAAATGTACTTTGCGCATGAATATCAGGAGGCTGGCCCACATACAAGTGATGAGCTCGGTGCTAAGCGTCTAAGCCTATGCTTCAGCCTGGAGCTTCGAGCTCTGTTTTTTCACGGCGCAAGTCTTCTAGCGGGGCTCTTGAAGTGACAGTGTCTCCGTATGTGTGTGTGTGTGTGTGTGCGCGCGCGCGTGTGATTGCGCGTGCGTGCAAGAGGCGTCGTGGCCACTTTGTAAGACTCGGTTGTCGAGACCTGCCGTGCTCCCACCTATGGCAGGGAACCCTAACATCTACGCGGACCCCATCTGCAAACACGCTAATCGATCGTAATGCCTGCAGCCCTTCATGGTATTTCTGTGGTGCTTTGCGGATGTCATGTCTACGGTTCATCGCCAAAACTGCTGTGGCAAAACAGCTCCAGGCGTGTGTTCAGGTGTCAGGCCATCTGCGCCCAAGCCGATCTCTTTGTGCGATTCTTCCTGGGGAGCAGCTTGAAGCGATCGGATTCCCGTTGAGTTGATGCGGCCAGCCAGGAAAGACCTGCCCAAGCTTTAGATCCCATACAGTTGCCGTATCTGTTGGTGCTTGTGGGCTGGCAGAGCAAAATCACAAAGCCTGAGCGGAGTGATTCTACGGTAGTCAATATCATTTTTAGGGTTTGCTAACCAGTATCATCCTCTTTCAGGGTGTGGGGTTTGCCAGTTTGCCACCCGCGATCTTCTTTTGGGAGTTGGAATTCTTAGCCAAAATCTCTCTCTTCCAGGGTTTGAGGTTGCCGCCCACGATCTCCTTTCAGGGTTTGGGATTTGCCAACCAATATTGTCCTTTTTGGGATTTCAGAGTTAGGGGTTTGCATCCGGGTTTGTCACCCACGATCTTTATGCAGATGGGTTTTTTCATTCATGTCTGCCAACTCTTGAGGTTTGGGGCTTGCCATCCACGATCTTCTTTTGGGGTTTGGGTTTGCCGCCGATGCAAAATTTAGGGCTTGGGGAATGCATCGGGCTTGCCATTTGCGGTCGTCTTTTAGTGTTTGTAGTTTGCCAAATTGCAGAGCCATGACCTTGTTCGTTTAGGGTCTGTCTTTTGGTGTTGGCCGGAATCACACCCGATGTTGTGTGAATATCCTCGCAAGTTCTCCGACTTTGTCCCTCGTGCTTTCAGAAACTCTGTTCCTCCAGTTCAGATATTTTCCGAATCTGTCCTCCTTGTTTTGGGCCACATGTCTCCGTCCAAAGAGCACTGACTACTTCCGTCTGTCGACGAGGACAAGGTTTTTGCAGGCAACTGTTCGGCCACAGATGTGACAAAGGTATGAAAAGAGACGTGGCCCTCAAACCACAGAGTTGATTGGCGTTCGGAGCAGAATATGAACAAGACTAGAATGATGCTTCGAAAAGGTTGATGCTGTTTCCTTGGTCTTTTGATATTCTGTGCTTGTGACGGAGCAGGCAATGTCCGAAAATTGCACGCCACCAAGCCGCCCTGCATGAGCGTCGATGGACAGTGCCAGTTATGAGAAATCTCCAATTTCCACCTGATGAACTTGTCTTCACTAAAGAAGAAGCCTTCTGCGTGGAGGAGGGCAGCTACAACCTGCTTGAACAATGCCCTCTGAGTTCAAGTGCAAATAGTTGGCGAGGGCGATACAGCAACTCACACATGTGGTGCTGCATGCTGTAAAGCAGTCTGTGACTTTTTCACGTCATTTTGCAGAATCTGAGTGTTCTCCGCGACATATATCTCAACGCAGATGCGACTATATGCGACTGCGGACCGCGCCTAGCTGCCCAGTCTGACCAGGGAGTCAAGCTTAGCATGCTTAGCAGTCAAGCCACATACTCTCATGAAGAGCCTCGTCCTGCCAAAATCAGTTGCTGTGTGTTGCTGTTAAAAGCAAGACCGATGCGAAGAATGATTTGTGCGACAAGCTTGATTTCCTGTGGTTCCTGCTGCCTACACGTGAGAAGTGAGAAGTGTGCACTTCGGACTTATGCACATTTTTGCACAAAAGAAGTTAGCGAAGTCTGGTGCTTCGTTCCCTCACCAGGCGATACCCAGATGAGAAGAATATTAAGCATCTCACGACTTTGGTCACTTCTGCTGATGCGATGGCTGTTCGATGTGCAAGCGGGTAAGCGCGAATCATGGCGGTCTTTTCGTAGGGGCACATTCAACAGGAGATGCAGGGGTAGGTTCACAGCACAGCCATGGCTGGATCACACAGCAGGTTCTTGCGGCCATCCTCATGTCGTGGAAGAACATGCTGCCGAACTTGCTTCCCACAGCCGTTGACAACAACAGCGTCAAGAGATGGAATAAATTGCCGGTGCTTCCACGCTTGTCCGTCTTGTCAGTATGGAATGCTCAGAGGGCCGCCTTTGGCCACTTGCCCTCAAGTCCGCAAATCTCAAGCCTGTTCAGCAATGCTCATCCCGCATACGGATGGTGGTCTCGTGGTCCCCAGTTCTTGTTCGTTCAAGTCAGGATTTCGAGAGTGGTCCAGTTCCACCAGCATTGCTCGCAGCTTTGTGCGAAGCCTTCTTGACAGATTGCTTCCTCGTGTTGTCGCAACCTCGGCCTTCATGCCTCGAACTTCTGTTCGCAGCCAAACTTGCAATCCGTTCGAGTGGACGCGATCCTCCGGCTGCTTCTGTCTGTGGTTGGCGCACTGTGTGCCGGATGGAAACGAACACATCACTACGGCTCAGAGACTTCTGTTACGTTCGTACACAGCTCATGAGATTGAAGCCGCTTGTATTCGAAGGCGTCCACTGCTCGTTCAGGTGAAGCAGGCCCCTAGCAAGCATCCTTATTGCTCAACATTCATTGCATCAGCAGGCCTCATCAACGTAATCGTACGGCCAGGTCTTCTCAAGCGCGGAGGGCGTTCTGCTGCTCGTGCATGTTGTGAAGGCCGAGCTCCATCGGCACTCTCTCTCTCTCTCTGTCTCTCGCTCGCTCCGTGTCTGTCAGTCCCACTTGGGAGAGAGGATGATAGAGGTGCAGTTGTCTTGGTTTGTATGAGAAGTGTTGTCAGCTAAGACCCCGAAGCAGAGTTCCACGACCACATGTTGTTGGAACCCTGCATCGCGGCAACAGGGGTGTTCTCCTCGAGGCATTCCTGACGGTTCACTGATGAGGCACGTTCAGAACTTGACACTGCACCGGTAGTCGTCAGCATGTGAAGTGCGCGAAGGATGCTGCTGCATCAGCGGCATTCAGGACTGCAGGTGCTGTGACACTTCTGCCGAGCCCGAGCCTGCTTCCATTTTTGCTCACCGCATCTGCCAGGCTCTTCTACCACGAGTTGACAGCTGGATTCAGGCCCTGGACAACGCCGGGATTTGGCATTGAGTGGCTTGGGCAGTGAAACTGGGAGGTTGTCAAGTTCAACGTGCTGCAGGTGCCGGATGGCAAATCAGTCACCAACACGTTGAAACTTGAAACTTCAGATGTTTGCAATTTCGTGAAGGTAGGGACTTCTCGCGGTGCTTTCTTGCGCAAGGCTTAGAAGTCCAATTTCCAGCCACACATACATGCGCAAGATGGATGCATGCAGTCACTGTTGCTGTGCCCGTAGTGGAAGTTTGAGGCTGCCGGTAGAGCTTGCGTCGGCGCCAGAGATGCCTGGGAAAGAAGTCGATCCGATGAGCGCAGGCTGAGGGCAATGCAACGATGGGGTTCGGTAGTCTTGCCAAGTTTGACACACAGCACACGTTTGTGCCAGCGCGCTTGATGCCACAAACACGCCGGTAGCCCCACGATGGTTCTGGGGACTCGCACCATACGCCTGCAGAACACTTGCAAGTGCCACTGTGCCGTACCCTGCATTCGCTTTGTACCGATGCTCAAGCACTGTTTAGGTTTCAGAGGCTGAGCAACGCATGTTCGTGCAAGACTGGAACTTGTGGTGGATGCAACTGCCACAAAACCAACGACCGAACAAGAGTACACGCAATTTCTGTTGCACTCTCTGGACTTCGCTGAGAAGCCGCTCGCTCGTACCGTTCCACGGTGGCACATCTTCTCAGCAGTGTTTCATTGATCGGCATGTTGACGGTCATTGCAGGTAAGATGCTAAATTGGTTGATGGGTGAAGATGGGGGCGTTGACATGCTGGCATTTGCTTTTTTTGCCTTGAGTTGAAAGGTGTGGGGAGAGAGACGTGGGTGACTTGATGAGAGTCTGCCAAGGTTCCATGGCACAGGTGGCAGAAGTTTTCTCGGAGGCAGAGTTACAGGCACGCTTTTGTGTTGGCCTTCTATAACCTGGTCAGATCGCCAGAATCTGCGGCCCGCGCCCCCCCTTCGGCCAAATCTGATATGTCTCGTCATGTACACAGACTCTTGGTGAGGCGTTCTGCGGCAGCCAGAAGGGGCTCACCACGCTCCTGCTGTGGGCGCCTTGGCACGCGCCCAGCGTGCACCTGACCAAGGCGAGTGTACCTTGCTATTCTGTGGCAGATGACCAATGCTTCGCACTCCAGGTGTTGGAAGCTATTGCTGCTGAGCAGAAGAATGCGTCCTTTGCCAAGGTGGCAACCGCAAATCATTCATGTACGAGTGGTTTTGAGGCAGATCTTGCATGCATGTGCCGTTTCCGCCGCTTGCTTGGCTCAGCATAAGGCTTGAGTGTGGCGTAAGCATCCAGTGCTCATGATACTAAGATCAGCCAGTTGAAATCGCGGGCACCGCATCTTTGTGAGCCTCTGACAATCCTTCCGGTGTGACCTTTGTCGTGACGCAGCAGTGGCGACCATGGGGGCAGCCCGAAGCCTAACGCGCTTGTTGTGCCAGACAAACTTCTCTGTGGGAAGCTTCCAAGCACCCCGCACGACAGACAGATTAAACATTAACAGCCAGAGGGAAATCACGTCACAAGCCCCAGATGCGCGACAAGGGCATGCATGTAAGTAGACGACAGTATCTATTCCCAAACACGAAAGAATCAGATGCAAAGGCCAGGACGCTTTTCAGAAGAAATTGAGGGGGTGGAAAATGGACACAAAAAACGGGTGGGTCCAACCGTTTGGGTTGGTGGAGGGTACTTGAGGTCACCCCCAAGACGCCTGGGCCTCTGGCCTCGGCGGAATAAGTACGTCCCTCCTTCGGCGATCACGATTGGTCACCCGGCTTCATGGTGCCCTGTTGTTGGTGCTGGTCCTGGCGGTCGTTGTCGTCCTGGTCGTCCTGGTCGTCGTGGTGGTCTTGGTCGTCATGTGACATAATGTGTATGCCGCATGCCTTGTATTGTCCCGACTCGGGGCTTTCATGGGCTTGTAGACAGCCTGGTTTGAACACATGTATTCGAATGAGGTTCTCATTGCGCAAGCACGGAGGGCGAGAGACGGGGAAGCCGTGTTTGTGCAGTGTTTCAACGCCCATTGGTCTGCGACAAGAATAGACTAGAACGGTTACCGGGTTATTTGTGCTTCTAACCAGGCTGTGGCAGAGTTCGCTAGCAGACAGATAGATGAACAAGGCTTGACATCTTTTTGTAGCTTATTTAAGTTTCTGAGGTGCTCCGATTGCATGCAAGGTCGATATCGTTGACATACCGATTAGACTCACCGAAGAGCTGCTCGTCACCTTGGCCATCGTCATCGCGCTGGTGTTCATATGGACGTGCGACGAGACATTTGCAGCCCTTGGTTCTAAGAGATGTCTTTGCGGTAGCTTCCTTCAGGTACCGCGCCAACATAATGATGGCTCTCACTGGGGACACCAAGCTCCACGGTTCCTTCCTAGATTGCGTCTGGTGCTGCTGCTTTCAGTGCTGCCGGGCGCACAGCACTGCTGAAGCTCTGAGATATGCCGTATCGGAACCGCGGGGACGAACCTTCTCAATGAATGAAATAGCCTCCGGCGGCAGTGGCTGAGGTGGTCTGTGCACTGGCGAGTGGACCGGCTGTTTCACGATGTTCCCATGTTGTCCAGCAAGATGGCGCAGGCGGCCGCCGAACTCACACAAATCTGTTCTATTCTAGTCAACAGAGCACACAGAGCACGCGTAGGGCGACCGGCTTCGGGTCAGGGCCCACTGATCGGTCTTTGTTCTATTCGTAAGGATGTCATCACGCCGTCTTGGAGAAATATTGGGTTCAATTGAGCAGCATTGATCCTTCCGTCACTTTGCAGTATTCCCGTCGAAGCGGCGCACGTGTGCCCAGCTCCGTGCGCTCACCACGCGCCCTCCAAAGTCTAGCCGTATCTAGTTTGCAAAAGTGGACAGGTTGTGCTTTCGAACACTTCAATACGAATCGCTGCTCGTTTGAAGCAAGCAAAGCGGGACGAATTGCGGAAGCATAAGACACACCAGGCATTGCCAGCCACATCGTGAGACGTGGCTACACGCCTGTCAGCCAGGCAGAACCTCGTCCGGATGGTTGGGAAGCAAATGGGTTTGTCCAACTACACGGTTCTGATCTCAGTGTCGCTGGACGTTAGACCTGTAAATGCGGTTGCAAATCGCTCAAAGCTTGCATGGCGGCTTTACGAGTTTCCTCAGATTGTTGCAGGGAGGTTCTCAATGTCAAAGATGGCCTGTCTTGCAAGACGAGGTCGAATTGAGGAACTTGGTAGTGGGCGATCTCCCATTTGTCATGCCGCCATGTCGGGCAGGTTTGTGTGTCCAGTTCCGTTGATGTAGAAAGACGGCACTGATACACGAGTTCGAGTTGTGGTGCGGCTGCGAGGTGGATTCTGCCTTGTGTGTATGCCCGGGCATGCCTGGGACATGTTACTGCAAGCACGACGGAGTTCAAGAGTTAATTTTAGCGAGACCGGCTTTCCGAACGCCCACCAAACGGCACGGAATCAACGCAACATGAACACAGCAGGCGGAGATGGACTACGAACCGCGAAAACCTTGACTCAACCCTGGCCCGTTCGGATTCATTCGGCAATGTGCCAGGACGGTCGTGAAGACATTTTCTTGTCCGTGGAATGCTCGGACTCCTGTCCGAACTTTCAGAAGGGTTTGCTTAGACTGCAAGCCATTGTATGCCATTGTCATAGCCATAGTCATGACCTGCTGTTCGGAGTTCTGACGAAGTGGCATCCGAGTCCAATCCGGCGATGAGGACTTCGGTGGCTGAGGATAGGCTTGCCAAGGCGATGTTTTCTCCTGTCTTCCAAATCCATCTCATGCCAGCATGTGACACATCTGTGCACGGGGGGATCTTCTGCATAAGGCTTGCTTTTGTCAAGTTGCTTCCACTGCAGGTCATTCACTTCCCGGAGGTGCTGACAGTTCGAGTTCGGCACTGTTTCTTGGAAGAGAACGTGCCTTGCTCAGATTCCATACCTGTCGTTGAAGCCCTTTCTGGCATTGACCGCATGAGGTTCGGATCACTGTCCTGTGTTTAAATGTCGTCGGGTCCGAGGAGCTTTGCACGGCCAGTTCCCCACAGCGTTCCCATCATCATGTGTCATTCTTTATCTGTGTTCCTAATTGTTTTGCCGAGATCACCATGAGTGCCATGAACGTCATCGACTGGGCACGTGATCCGTCCTTTCCTCATCTGCTTGCAAGCGGGCATGGATGTTCACTGTTGCAGACGCCCCGAAATCCTAGATGCGATGCAGGTCAGAGAGGATCAAGCGTTTCCAGCTGAAAACTGTGAATCACAACAACATCGACCGAGAGACCCCAGCGTGGTTGCTCGTCGAATTTGGCGAACCAATAGAGGCCGGAGTCAAGACGTGCGCGCGTCTGTGGTTTCTCGAAGCCTTCTTTTGCTCCTGATAGAGTGTCCGTGAACGTTGAAGAGGGAAGCCAGGCTTGTGCGACCGCGTCAAGTGATGCTCTTGCTCCACTGTCAGTTTCAACTCTCGTGAAAGCGGATGTACCACCCAAACTTGGTGGATCGGCTGGTTTTGCGCAGGTTCGCGACCTGGACAACATCAGATCCATGGACACAATCAGGACCACCACCCAAGACATGACAAGGCTTGCTCGCTCTTGACTCTTTGCAGAGTGCGCAACAGCCACAAGATTTGGAAACACGTTGAGGCGAATTGGCAGGGACGTATTTCGGATGGAAAGTGTATCAAAGTGCACTCCGTGCACGGGTCTCGATAAGCCAACGATGCTTTCTTTCACTTGCCCTGGTCCTCGTTTTCCTTGCATCCGCCGCCGCTGCATGTCGGCAGTACCTTCTTGGGCAGGTTCAGCCAACACAGCGTCGCTGAGTACAAGCACACTTACTACTTGCTCGATGCAGCAGGTCACATGGACCGAGACGGCATGCTTCGATATTCATTAGAAGCTGCCCTTGCACGTTGCCGCTGCAATTGGACGGGTTTTGATGGAAGCAATGTTGTAACATCCTAAGGCCATGCAATTGATGAGCCCTTCGAAGAGGATTTGTCAGACATTCGCAGAATGCGCACAAATGCATCGGGCTTAGGCTTAGGAGTGAGGCTGCTCCTTTCGACTGGATTGGTCTGCAAGCCTAGCGGAGCAGTCGAAAGTGTCATTCATGTTCGTTCTTTTTCTTTTGTTGTGCCTGAGTCTGCCTGAGTGAGTCCGTGAGTGAGTGAGGGAGTGCGTTCCACCAAGGGAGCGTGCGAGCGAGCATGTGAGTTCAGAGAGAGAGAGAGAGAGAGAGAGAGATAGTAGCCATTTTGGCTCAAGCCGTGAGCGGTTCGAGCCCCCAGCCCGGATACTTACACAGAGAGAGAAGAGATCCTTCGTCGTCGGGGGAGCAACACGGGCGAGCCGAGAGAGCGTGACCAGAGACAGCCCCCGCCATACCTCCTCAACTACAAGATTGCATCTCTTTGCGTGTACACCAACCTCGCCGCCCGGGGGGAGTACGTAACGAGGGGAGCACATCGAGATCTGTGCGCCGACCCTCGGGGACATCCCCACTCCTCTACCTGCGGGGGATCGGCGAGCCTACGTGGGCGGATAGACTTCGAGAAGCCGCAGTTCGTCGTGCACTACGCTGGGCGGGGAACACCTTCCACTACCTGACTGAGCAAATGGCAGGGACGACAAGATCGCCAACTTCACCTATGAGCAGCGACCCCCCGCCACCAGGGGGAAGAAAAAGACAAGCAGTGGGGGAAGATGAGGACGACCGCCCCTTGACACTCAACTCCCTCCTGGAGGCGCTCAAAGAAAACCGTGAAGAGATAGTTTCCCAAGTTCGCGGGGAAATGGAAGGCCTCTCCACGAGGGTCACTCAGGTCGAACAGACGATGGAAGTACATGTCACTCATACCACACAGCTGATGCAGGCGATGACTGACAGGCATGTTGCCATGGAAAAAAGCGTGCTCTCCGTGGGGGAAAAACAAGACTCCTTCATGCAGCGGCTCGAGCTCCTCGAGGGTAATTTCGCGAAGGCTGAGTTCTCCCTCTCCAG